CGGTAGTGACAGAACTCCAAGTGCTTGTTGCCCCTGTCAAGTTTAACTTGCTATCGCTAGGGCGTTTGCTGGGCAAGAGCTGGACTGTGGATTTCATGCCGAGTTTTAAGGTTGAGGCCGCTGGGTTCAGTCTCCGCGACTACCGGGATCAGTTTGGGCTGAACCTGGTTGCTGGGGAGTCCACCACAGGGTGGATAACACCATCCCGATGCTTGCCAAGGGGAGTTCGTCTCTCAAGCGTGTCGCAGAGAACTTGGTCCGAATGACAATGCAGATTGCCGGGGCAGAGGATGTGGTGCTTCAGTCCGATGCAGAGCCTGCAGCCAAGCAAGTGGTCCACGCAGTGCAGGCGTGCAGGGTCCGACTGGGCCTCAGAACAGAGCCCAGGTTCGTGCCCAGGGCTTCCCATGCGTCTAACGGTGTGGCAGGGCAAGCTGTGAGCACTGTTCGCCGCCTAGCCCTTACGCTGAAAGCCCACTTGGAGGACAGAGCCAAGATCAAGCTGACTGGGCAGATGCCGCTGTTCAGTTGGATAATGCAGCACGCCTCGTTCCTCCACAACCGCTTCTTCACGACAACCAAAGGGCTCCCGCCGTTTGAGGTGATCAATGGGCGGCGCTACAGGGGCCAGTTGGTGCAGTTTGGCGAGTGCTGCGTGGGATTTTGCCCCACGAAGTATAAAGGGGACTTCCAGTGGCGAAAGGGAGTCTGGGCAGGCATCAACGAGAAGAATGGCAGCCACATCCTCTTGAGCGAGACCGTGCTTTTGAGACACGTTCCCTTCGCCGGCTTCCTGAAGCCTGAAGAAAGCCAGTGCGTCGCGGAGGAGATCGTGTCCGCAAAGTGGCTCCCATGGGACTACGGCGGCAGCTTGCGGAGAAAGCGGGCGCTTTATACGTCAAGGGTGCCTTTGCTTCCGGACTCGACGACTCTCACAGAGCTGGCAAAAGCTGCAGGACGGGCGGCTGCTGAGACGATAGCGGCAGCCACTCCGCGACCAGCGTGTCAAGACGAAGCCGCTTCGGACCCAATGTCCCCGACCTCAAGCAGTGCAAGCAGCACAAGCAGTGGTCCCAGCCCAGGCGGGGATGGGGGAACAACAACAGCAGCAGCAGCGGAGGCGAGACCGAGCGAAAGAGCGAGAGAGCAAGCAGCACCAGCAGAACCCACAAGAAACACACATGGAAACCAACAAGCAGCAGCGCCAGCAGAGACCGGGTCAAGCGAGAGAGCAACCAGAGCAGCAGCAGAACCCACAAGAAACACAGATGGAAACCAGCAAGCAGCAGCAAGCAGAGACCTGGGTCGTTTTAGTGGTGTTGCCGAGGAGCATAGTGGTCCAATGCCAATGGAAATGACAAAGACTAGCCGCAGTCTCGAAGGGCAAGGTGCAGCCATGACACCCAAGAAGGCACGACTTCTTCTAGATCGTCCAGCTGGATCGTCCCCCACTACGGCAAGTCCGTCTACGCTATATCCCCCAGGGTTTGCAGGAGTCAGAGCTGTGCATGCATGGGGACGTGTGCCTTGATGAAGCCTCGTGCGCAGACATGTGGCTAGATGATGTGGGTGAGGCCCTGTGGGGTGAAGCTGAAGGAGATGATCCTGATGATGCCTTGGCCCTTGACGGCGAGAAGCCACCAGACGTCTCGGCTGAGGAGCTCGCTCGGCTGGACCTTGTCAGCGACCGGCATGAGGTGGAGAGGCTTCTCTCCATGAATGCCATCCGCAGGCCAAAGGATGGAGAGGACTTGTCCAAGTACAGCCGGTTGTCCACCAAGCTGGTCAGAGATTGGCGCAAGCGGCCCATGTGGGTGAGAAGGTCGCGCCTCGTAGCGCGCGAGTTCAAGTCGTGGTCGCCATGGTCCCAAGAGCTCTTTGCGCCGTCGTCATCGCTTGCTGTGTGCCATGGTCTGATTGCACAAGCACAAGCATTTGGGCTAGAGCTCACAACCCTCGACCAAAAAGACGCATACCTCAACGTGCCTCAGAAGGCACCAGTCATCATTGAGGTGGACTCGCGTGCCTTCGAGGACGGGCCTTGCAGAATGGAGCAGTTCATCCTGGAGAGGCTGCTGCCAGGGCAGCGAGTCGCGGCTGGAGAGTGGTTTGGCTTCATCACTGACATTCTCAAAGATGGCAGCCTTGAGAGTTTCCCCAAAGAGCCGACCCTCTTCCGGAGAGCTGGCCCTGGTGACTTGATGGGCCTGGTTCTTCATGCAGATGATGGGCTTTCGGCCTCTACCCGGGAGGCCAGGGAGGAGCTGAAAGCCAAGCTTGAGGAGAAGGTCGTTGTGCAGTTCAGCGAGCCGTTGGTCAATGTGGGTGACGAGCTGGAGTTTCTCAAGCGGAGGTATGTCCTCGAGGAAGAGGGAGTGATCATGTACTGCAGCAACAAACATGTTGATGGTTTGCTTGCAGCATTGGGGCACAACATAAAGTACCGCGAGACCCCCGCCGACCAAAGCTTCCTTGAAAAGGACAACACCCCTGAGCTGCCGGATGTGAAGGCCAGACTGTTTAAGGCTTTAGGGAGTGCTTGGGTCGCCTGTTGTACTTGAGTCACAGCAGACCGGACATCCAATTCTCGGTTTGCACGCTGGCAGCAAGCATGGCAAGGCCAACCAGTGGTGCAATGCGGAAACTCATGAGAGTAGCAGGCTACTTGGCCCGGCTCCCCATACTAGGCTTCCTGATCAGGCCGATCCACCACAAGGCGTGCCTGGGTTACAGTGGAGAAGGCCTTTGTGGATCAGGTGGGAAGGCGATCCTAGAAAGCGTTACAGATGCTGACTGGGGAGGAGACAAAGCAAGTCGTAGAAGCAAAACATCCGCCCAGATTTTTCTGGGTGGAAGTCTCCTCAGTTCGTTTGTCAGATCACAGCGCTCGGTGGCACAGTCCTCGGGAGAGTCAGAATTTATTGCATCAGTGGCAGGAGCTGGGGAGATGTTGTATGTGAAGGAGTGCATGGAGTTCCTCCTCAAGGGTGCTGCTGAGATTGAGGCGGTTGCCCGCACAGACAGTGCGGCAGGCCGCGGAATATCACAGCGGATAGGTTGCGGTCGGGTACGGCATCTCGACTGCGGCCTCCTATGGCTTCAAGATGCGGTGAAGAAAGGGGCCCTGAAGATTGGCTCCATTCCTGGAGCAAAGAACACGCCAGATGTGGGAACAAAACCCCTCAGTGGACCGAAGCTCAAAGAGTTGCTTTGGAGATCTGGTGCAGTCAATGACGAGGGCCAGCGCTATGGAGAGGAGGAGGCAAAGGAGGCCGAGCACAAGGCGAACATCCGGAACATCGTCGCAAGAAGCGGCCTCGGACCACGCTATGGGAAACAGGTTCTTCCCGTTCTCCTCATCCTGGCCCAGATCCTCGGCAATGACAATGTGGCTCACCACTGTGATTGTCATGGTGGGTTTTCCTCTTTTTATATGGTGGTGCTTGCGCAGTTTGTGGAAAGCTGTGTGGAGCAGGACACCAATGTTTGAGCCTGAGCCCGAGGTCGAGATCAATGAGCCCAATGTACGTGACAAAGGAGTCCAAGCTTCACTTGGACCATCCCGCGAGGAACAGAGATGGCAAGATGAATATGTGGAACGATGCAATTTTCTTAGGACAGCTCTCAATGAGGAGCATCAGACTGTCCTTGCTTGTGAAGCTGAGTTATGCACTCTGCGTGAGCAAGTGCGACACCTAAAGGCTAGGAACTCTAGTCCTGTTGTGCGCGAGCGAGTGCCCAGCGCAGTGGCAATCGCCACAAGCAGGGGCAGAAGCTTCCGTCGCCCAGGGTGCAAGGCCATTAGGAACCATGAGGGTGTACGCCAGTATGCCCCCTGCCAGATTTGTTTTAGGGAGATCACTGGGCTTTGAGAAAGATGCTGAGCACTTTTGGGTCGATGAGCGAAACATCCCTGCCAGAAAGTGCAGGAATGTTTCGAGGCGGGGTGAAAGACAGGAAAGCCCCTCCTTGAATGCATATGTAAAGCATTGCTTCGCATGACATGTGCGTTACGACAGCCCTCGAAGTTCAAGGAAAAGTGTTGCATTTTTAATCTTTTTCTGATCTGTTTAAAACAGCTTGTACAATGTACGGGCGACAAGTTATGCTTAGACAGATGTTTCATCTGAGATTCGCATGGGCTGTGCCGTCCAAAAACATTGTCGGAGTGGTCTTATGTTCGCTTCCCTCTTGCGCCCACCCAAACCCTAATGCCTTCGGCTCACGCCCTTCGGGCTTCCAGGGTACAAGAGACCAATTGCTTTTCCAAAAAACATTGTCTCGTGTGTGGACGATTCAGTTCTATTTCGTTATATTTCTACGTTTTTGACCCTTGTTGCAAATTGTCTGGCTTTCTCTTTAGATCCTTTTGCTTGCAAGAGATTCAGATGTTACTCGGTCTAAGCGGGCCACGGCACATGCCCGTTGCAGAGTCTTCTAAACATGCAGCGCCTACGGTGGCCGTAGGGTCAGCCTTCTTCGCCTGAGCCAGGCGGAAAGAAGGGTGGGCCAGTCCAGTCGTACCTCGGCCTCGATTCGGCGAACCAAACAAAGATCGACCCCCTCATTACTTCAGTTGTTTACCGGTTGTGTTCTTTTTTTTCTGGCAGCTCGGGTTTGGTCGAAAAGTACAGGATCGACTGTCGCCTCCGGCTTTGTTGGAAACGGACCGACATGTTTCAGGCCAAGGCTGTAGACAAGAGTCTTATGAACATGCGGGAGGAATGAGCACCAGTTTTGCACAACTTTGCAGCTTTTCTTTGCATCGGAATGGTGGTTGGCACGGAATATATTTTCGGAAAGGGTATCACTCCAATACGTTTTTGTTTGAGTTTGAGACATAAGCTAAATACTTAGTGCCGCGGTTGCTGGTCTTCTTCAAGCGCTCATCATGGAGCCAATTTCCACAACGAGCATGTTGCAAGTGTTGTTGAGCAGGACGATAGTTGTTCGCACCATGAATAGACAGTGCTCGGAGGGGTGTTTTTTGCCTTGCAATCGGACCAATCTGACAGAATTTCAGTGTCATTGATTCGAACACTACTGTACCTTACGCAGCCTAATGAAGGAAGAACGAGTATTGCTTGACGGTGCCGTCCTGCCGGCCCGTGGACGTGATTTTGTGGAACAGATCATGTCGTAATGCCCCATGGCGCCCAAGGGTGCAACGCTGCGGCGGCATGGCCGAAAGCAAGTGTTGCACATATCCAATTGTTCTGCTTTGGTCGCACGTTCGCAGCATGCAGTTGCACACCGTGATTGTTTCTTTTCTGAGGTTGAGTGCGCGGTCCAACAAGACGGAAAGCCATGTCGAGCGCATGGCGCGAGCAGGGTTGCAAAAGGCTTGCATGGGTCCGCGACGATCAGAAGCTCGTGCTTGAACAGATGTTGTTGTTGCTTGTGGGCCAGGCAGCAGATGGTTTGCCAGAAATGGATCGTCTGTTAGCAGAAGGTTTGCCTAAAGCCGTGGAGCAGTTCGTTAGCAGTCTTCGCACCTTGGCTTGCACCTGATTCAGCTCTTGTTTCGTTTTGCTTTCAACGAAATCGAAATCGGTCGGAGGCGCACCCGGAAGGAGTGAAACAAGGTGTGGTAGCAGCAGCATGCAGTTATTGCTCGATTCATCGCTACTTATTCACAACTTGCGTGAACTGACACAAACAGCGAATTGAGCTGCCGGGAGACGCTTGGCGTTACAATATTGCCAGGGTAGCTTTCCCAGAGTGTGAGAAAATCAGATGATGTTTTGGTGCAGTTCTGGTACAGGTCTGTTGTAACCGAGATCATCTTGCCGAGGCAAACTGCAAAGCAGGGACGACCTGCTGAATTCTGAAGTTCCGTTGGAACCTGCAAAGAATCTTCGTCAGGTGGCGGGTGCTGTGCCTCGCAGTCACTGTGTGCGACTTTGGTCTGTTGTAACTGCAAGTGATATGCCATCATTGCCAGGTCGTGTGGCACTTCCGCGACCTTTCGTGGAGGAGCTGAAGCATTGTGTATCTGTCTTTGTTAATTTTGTGAGCTGTGAGTAAGTGTTCGCTGCTTTCGCCTCAGCTCGAAGTTATAGATTCAGAAGGGCAGGAGAGTGACGGGTAGGCCGCGCAACATGCCAAGACGGTGTTAGCCTTCGTGGCTGTACGACGGAGCTAGGGCAGGGAAAGATTCTCTGCAGTTGAAAAGAGTTGGAGGCTTTCGACTTCGTGATTTCATGGAGCTGATCCATACTAAGCATCGCTATGGAGGGCTCCGGGCAGCCTGAAACCACGGGCCTGGCAAGATCCCAGCCATGTTTCGGCGGATGAGAAGTCAGAAGAAGCAAGCCTTTGTCTGCCTCATTGAGCAGCTACACGACTTCCGCAAGAATTGCATGTGCTTCCTTTGTGCAGGACAGCAGTTCATGCGGAGCAGGCTGCTAGCTGTTTGCTTGACATATGTCATGGGACTTATCAAGTTACCACTGCATATGTTCAGGAGCATTGGGCCTTACATGTAAAATTGTTTCGTCTCATGCTCTGGCATCTGCAAAGTCAAACCGTCACACGGGCAGTTGATGCGGAGGCCACAAAATTGGGGGAAGCCTTGGCGGAGCCGCTCAAGATTATACAAGCCATTTCAGTTCTGATTGAAGGCGGGATTGCTCGGTGCCACCTTGACCAATTGCTTTCCGATTAGATTCAGGAGTCTAGGGGCAGAGCAGGCGCTACTGTAGCCCAGCTGAAGCGTCGTTGCACTTCAACAGCGTGTTCGCACCTCCAGCGTGTCCCCCTTGTAGAGGCATGGACCTGCAGAGCTTGATCCGTGGTGAAAATCCTGATAACCTCGCAGGCCAGACATGCAAGAATCAGGTTGTCATTACTGCTTCCGAACACGCCCGGCGCTAGTTGAAGGATGGAGCACTGCTGGGTGATCGTGAGTCAGAATCCTGGTGACAGGTGCTTTGCTGCTGGGGCTGGAAAACTGGACGCTCTATTGTGTGTTGCTTGACTGGCAAACCCAAAACAGTCAATGCCCTTCAGAGCGTTGGTGAGGTGTGCGGTGCCTTGCTGTCTCAATTTCAGGCTTGCTAGCAGCCATGGCGTGCCCCCCAAGCTGGTGATTGAGGAGGCACCTCGCCCCCGTGTTCGATCAAGCTTGGGAAGAGAGGATGGGAACTTCGTCGTGAGGTCACCTCGGGCATCTTGAAAAGTCTCAAGGAGATGCTTCGTCAAATCATCGGACCGCTGCAAGCTTCCGAATCCGACAGGCAGGTTGAAGCATCAAAACTAGAAAAGGACGACTCGTTGCCCAATTTCCTGAATCCTGCCAGGAGCAAGAAAGCCCCTGGCGAAGGCTTGGGACTGCACGGGGTTTTTGACTTTTGCATGGACCTTGCGTAGCCCAGGCCAAGCCGGAGATCTTCCCTTTAGCATGGGGCTCAGCTGTGCTTCTTGTGATGTTTGGGTTTCGCTTTGGCCCCCTTGCCGCGAGGTGCCGAGCATGCCGGTGCTCTCTGTACATCGGTGGCCGAGCTACTGCAGGTGGTTCTTTTTCGATCCTATCCCCCAACCTTACCGAGCCCGTTGTCTGCCAGTACGGTCGACTGCTTGACGACATTCTCATGTATGGCTGCAAGACACAGATGTGCTGTCGCAGAGGCACTTCATGAGTTCCTGAGTCGCCATCGGCTAGCCGAGGATCAGCCTCTCAGCACGCATGTTGCCCGAGCTAGTTAGGTTGGTTGAGAGGGTTCCTTCTTGCAAGTCCCGAGAAGGGCTTGCAGCACGAAGCAGTGTGTCGTCATTGTCAATCAGACAGACAGGACCTGCCAGCCCTCGGACTTGGGTTGTGACGGCACCGTACCGAGGCTCCACCAGCTAATCCACATTGCTCTCTCCATTTTCTTTTTGGGTGAGCCAAATTTTCGTCTATGTGCAGCTGCCGAGGAGGCACGCCCGCTGCTTGAAGTTTTTTTGAAGATTGCTTTGCACCTGAGAGGTGCTGGTGACGATTTTCTCGCGCCACGAAGCGCTCCGCAGCTCCGTGCTACAGGAGTTTCTTTCCCGGGCACCAAGGCCGAGCCGAACTGTTGCTCAAACGATCCTCTACCGTGCTCTGCAAGGCTGCCTACAGGCAAGCGGGCAAAGAAGTTCCAGATGCCCGCGACAGAGGCTTGCGCCCAGACGGGCTGTCCTCGTATGCAGATATATGTCGCCTTCTGCTTGGCACAATCGCTGCAAAGGGACAGCCACTGCTCTTGGGTGTACTGTGCATGGGTCACCCAGACAGGAGAGCGGAGCATATGGTCTGAGCACCTGGACGCATCTGTCTCCGGACTGCGCTGGTAAGACTTCCCGTCCTGTGACCGCCTCAGATGCAATGCCGCCGAGGCTGCTGCGACTCTGCCAGTCCACTTGCCTGCCGCTGCGCGAGCCGATCGGTGCGCCCTTTGAACGTGCAAGCAATGTCTGTCCGCAGGCGTGCAGGCAGAGGTGAAACAGTGAAAGATTTACCGACGGTTGCTCCAGTCAGTCAGCATGCGCCGACACACATGAGTTGCAGACATTGCATAGAACACGAAAACACAAGAAAGACGTTGCATGCAGATGTTCTGGCAAGAGATCACACACATCCGGCAGTCGCTGTCCATCACGAATGTTGTCAGATTGTCTGCTCTGGCAAGGCAGCGATGTGGACTTCGAATCGGTGGTCGAGTGCCGTCCGGCTGCGCAGTCGGCCAGGACCTTGGATCAGTCGCTTCAATGCTGACTTGGTTCTGACTTGTTGTCCTCTGAGGTCATCTCCCAGCTTGTAGCTGGGCTACTGCAGCGACTGGTGCTGTCTCGAAGCGTCCGGCTTATTCGATCTTTGTATCTGTGTTCTCGAATCACCGACCTCGATACGAGCTGTGACCGCAGTCTCATAGTCCTGATCTGGTGGCAAAGGTAAGGACGAGGAAGCCCGCTTGATTATGGAGGACGCGGATTGTCTGAATATCTTCGAAGACATCGAAGATAAGCCTGGCAAAGCCTGGCTTTCTTCGTCTCGCCGTCCGACGCGAAGATGGCCTAAACTTATGTGCAGACGTTTGCCGGCACAACTTAAAATCACGGAAGCGATTGGGGTGAGTCTTTTGTATCTTTGAGCCGCAACTTGTCTGTTTACCAAACACTCCATCTAATCAGCACTGGTTGACCCACCTCAGCCCGAACCGAATGTCGATTCGCCGTGAGGGGGCTGACCAGCAAGGTCTCGGAGCTTAGTGGTTGAGGCAGGATTCTTTTAGCAAGGGCCTGGAGGCTGAGGTTGGGGATGTTTGAAGTCGGAGCCACGGCTTTCAAACATTCCCATAGTAGCCTCAGTGATTGCTTGGAAGCTGAACTAGAGGACTCGAGAGCTTGCTCAGCCAACGCACTGCTGCACTCGGACCAGAGCGGCATCGGCCATTTTCCAACGAGAGCCAACTCCCAACGCCTGTGCCTCTGTCCATACCCGTCATCAGCTTCCTCACCTTCCCTTCTTTCGGTTTAGACTTTTCCCCCCTGCTCTAGGAAAAGCAAGTGTCGGTGCCATGGTTACGCTATCTTGCATTGACTTGTCTCTGCCCGTCATGCTTTTTGATCGGCTGCAGTCGCTTCGAGCTTCTCCAGGACTTCACTGACGAAGTCTTCTCTGCAGCTTTCAAGCCAATGTGGCCTGGAGCCCCTGCCCCAGAATCACTCTGGCGAACCATCGGATCTTGCAGAGTTGGTTGAGTTTCACCTCGTCGAACACAGTGCGTTTTGCTTATCTGTGAGTCCTGCGCCTGCAGTCTCATTTGGTTCAGCTTGGCGTCAGGATGTTGGTTTGATCACATTTTATTGGAGTCATTAGAGGTCTTCTTGAGAAGCGTCGGTAAACGTAGAGCGGTCTGCTGAGGCCCTAGCACTGCTGGGACCTCACTGCTTGCGCGAAGCTGGCTTTTCAGTCACGGGCGAGCGGGGCGAGCTTGCAAGAAACAAGGCTCCGCCAGATGGTGCAGCAACTGATCGCATTTCTTCAGGAGAAGAAGCAGGTGTGGGTGTGCGATTCAGCTCGCGCTGAGATGCTGCACCATCTGATGTTAAAATGATCAGCGAGGCAGGCGACATCACCGTGCGAGAGTTCACGTTGAAGCTGTTGTCTGGCCGGCATGTCGACTATTTGTGACTTCGCATTGTGGGGTGCATCAAGGCCCCTCTTCCTGGCTGAAGGGTGTTGCCCATGCAATCGCAGCTGTTGGAGTCGAGCCTATGTAAACAGTGATTATATTGCGCAGTCGCGAAGGCTGAGGCATCAGAGTGTAAGTGCCGGTCTGGGGGGCCATGGAGCTTCCGCCAGCCAAGCGGCTGCGAACGGAGGGCCCTGACCAGAAGGCCGCGCTTGTTCAAAGGCTGCTGGTGGCGAAGGAGGCCAGCGGAAAGAGCTTCGATGAGTGCCTCGCTCGAAGTAACCCTTGCTCTTGCTACAAGAGTGTAGGCAGCAAGCACTTAAGGGCTTGTGCTGGGTACGAGGATAGCCACCGGACTCGGACTAACAAACGCTTACACGGCTGCTTGGCCGAATTGAGGCGGAGGCAGCGTTTCTCGCGACCTGCAGCATCCCGTAAACGTCTACTGGCACTAGCAGCGCCTGCAGCGCCGCAGGCGAACATGTTCTTCAATCAGGCACAGCTCAAGGGTCATGCAGCCAAGAAGCTGAAGGAGACCTGTGGACATGCATGATGTGCTGTTCACTTTTGTTCTTTGCACTGATCCCAGTGAGCTCGAGCAGTGTCTGTGCTTGATGGGGGCTGCAGGTTGACAGGTTCCAGGCAAAGGCCATTGTCAGAGTCACGCAGAGAGCTACCCAGTGTTGGGAGTGTCGCAGGACGTTTTTCTGCTGGCAACCTGTTTTGGGGAACTAAGACGGGAAGCGTGCAGAGCCGACTTGCCCACCAGCTGTCTCTGGCACTGGCACGAGGAGCTGGTGCCCAAGATATCTGATGAAGACCTTGCTACCATGCAAAGGCGCTGTACTGCGGCCGCTTTATCGATGGACTTGCTGAAGTCAGTGGCAAAGGCAGCGAAACCCACCTCGGCACACCCGGTGAGGCCTCCGATGCGCAGTTTTGATCCAGCAATCCTACAGGCCGGCTTCAGCTTAGCACCGTGCCGATCTGCCGCAGAACCCGCGAGCGTTCTGTCTAGGAGCCCAACGTATATCGCACATACGAGGCGCTGTGAGCTCAGCCAAAGCTCGAGACCAGGGGCGACTTCAGATTGCGACTTCCTGCTTAGGATCACGCACTATGGTGAGGCGATCAAGGCTGGCCAAAGAACGGTTCGTTCCAGCATTTTGTGCTATTCGAAGGGAGAACGCTCTCAGGCGCTGATCAACGAACAGTGTGGCGATGGCATTATGAGCGCCATTGACTTTTATCTGGATGTTGGCACGACGGTTGCTTGGCGTGAGAAAGTCAGGTTCCCGTTGCCTTGCAAAGCTTCGGATCGGCCCGCCTGTTCAGACTGGGAAGAAGGGCGAGAAGCGAGTTGTCATCACGATGAATGGGAAGTTCCTGCCCCATGTGGAGCAGATCGCCTCCGACAACACCGAGTTGCCCTCAGTTATTCCCACAAGCGCCTGCAGCAGCGTTCTTATTTTTTGGTCCAGGGAGGTTGAAAGATGTTGGGACGTAATCCGAATTTGCAGCATCTCACACGAAAGGCATTCACAACGGAGTGTCTGCAAGGCACGTGTCGTGTCCTCTCTGTACGTCTATAGTGTGTATTCTGGTTGCGCAGGCTTGTCGCGCTCCTTCTTTGGTGTCGCTTCGTGTCGCTTTGCATGTATGACAGCCTCGGAGGGTGTCCGTGGCTTCATGTCCTGGTTTGCGGCTCGGGCCGGATGTGATGGCAGTGGAGTCACGAGCGTGCCCTGAATTTGATTCCATCTTCGGAAGATGGCGTTCGGACTTAGATTCGTAGATGGTCTTGAGAGTGCAGACAGACTCGTGGCGTACTTGCATGTCGTAACTTAAGTTGTGCTTCGCTTCGGGCGACTGTCAAAACTTCCATGTCGTGGTGGTATCTTGCCGAATCTTGCCTGGACTCAAATTGTGTTCGAAGTGTCCATATCGTACCCGTCCACTGCTGACCAAGTGACAAAGCTTGACTAAGGCTCCTGGCCCGAGAGACTGAAGCCAACAGCAGACACTGGCGGATGCAGCGAAAACGAGCGTGTCCGTTGCGCAAGGGACCGGACATGTTCGACGCTCTGCATGCCAGGAGCCGAGCGGAGATCCGGCTGTGGTACCTGGCTTAGGGTCGGCACAGCTTCGCATGCTTGTCTGCAGCAAGCTTGGCGTGGGCTCCGTCTCGGTTTTGCAAGTACCTCCGAGGCACCATGCCACTCAGAGCTCTCAAGCCAGGGTGGAGCTACCCCAGTGGACCGAACCACCCGAGGAGGTTGCAAAACATGCAAAGGCCGGGCCCGTGTGAATGAGGTGGTTTCGCAGGTGTTCACTGTGTTTTTCTACCAGGAAGGGCGGCTCCTCCAGCACATTGCCCTCCGAGTCTCGTTGGAGGATGGCCGCGACATGCCAAGCCCCAAGCCCCAAGCCCCAAGAGCAGCAACATTTCTGGTCTTTTGGGTCACGGCGCTAGTGACAACGTGCATCTGAGGCCTTGGAGTGAAGCAGCACGGATTGTGGAGGACAGCCCCCAGCTCTGCCTGTTTGGAACGCTTGCCGTGGCCATGGGAGGCGTGGGATGCCGAGCTGTTCCTGTCAAAGGGTGCAGGTGATGAGCAAGCTCAAGGTAGGGCTGGCCAGCCCAACTCTGACACATTTTCTCTGCGGCCATGCGAATTGTGAGGCCTTACAAGCCTCAGCGACGACATCGTCTTCCTTCACTTGACATTGGCGTTCCTTTCGGATGAGTGCACGGTGCCTCTTCGCTGTCAGCTCCACTGGAATCGCTGAGAGCTTTGCTCGTGAGGCGCCCCTTCTGCTTCCGCCCGTGGGGACAGAGTCAAGCGCCGCCCATAGCAGAAATCGGCCTGTCTGAGTCTTTGTCTATAAACTATAAACCGAGTCGCGTTCAGTGATGCCACATGTTGGGTTGCGAACTCTTTCGACAGTTCTGAAGTGGCAATTTGAAAAGCAGTGTGGGGCTGAAAACTCAAGTTAACCAGGTCTTGATGTGGGGCAGGTTAGGACAGGATTGCACTCGCATGCAGCATCACTGGACGGCCAATGGGAAGAAAAACGGAGGCCGACAGCTTAGCAACTTGCTTGGCGGCCGCTGTTCTGGCTTCCGCTCGGAAGAACATGAAGAACTCAGTCTGGTCAAATGCAACTACACTCCCTGCTTGCTTCGTGAAGGGCAAGATGTACAGCCCCATCAAGAGCTTGGTTGCAGCAGGCCAAGTGCTTCGTGGTCATCCATCAGGCTTCGGGACGGACCTTCTGAAGTGATGCCAAGCACAGCAGCCTCCGCTGTTGTGGGGCATGTAGTGATAAAAGGTGGAGCAGATTTGGTGGAGACAGCAATGCTGCGATGTTTGTTACGTAGCGGGCGACTCTTTCTTGGTGTTGGGCAGTGCAGTTCCACCCTGTCCTGCCCAGTTATTGTGCCTTCCACGTCGCCGGAAGAGCGACCAGTCTTTGCATCAAGCTTGTTTCCGAGGTGCTGCTGCTCCGGCAGCGCCGCTGTCTGCCGCAGTCTTCGGAGCTCGGATCCCAGCCCCGGTAGTGTACATGCAGACTGAGCACAGTTCCTTGGTGGAAGGCCGGTCATCCGGTGCATGCGTGGAGCTTCCTGGTTTGTGACTGCGCAGAGGCTCGTTAGACGCTCTAGTGAGCCGAGTCATGCCGGCCTTCGTGCATCTTCGTGCTATACGCCGTGAGTTTTCGTGCCACTGGGATCGTGTGATCGGGTCTCGTCATGCGATGAGGTCAATGCTTTGCTTAAGTCCTCGAAGGCCGCTTCCCCCTCCGAGGAGGCCACTTCGCGACGGAGAGGCGACGGCGTGGCACCTGAGAAGTTTTCTGTGATTTGCTGCTCGAAGAAGTGCCAAAGACTTCTAAGAGACGTGCAGGGATGTTGCTTCGCCAGGCCCCATGACGCCGCTCCAGCGTTTCTTGGCATCTGCATGGCGCCGGCCTTGAAAATGGACATCGAGATCTTCGTCTTTGGAATATTAGTTGGCAGGTGCTCACCAACTCTGGTCGGAGCCTTATCCAGCTTTGTGTCGCTGCTGTTGGGGGTGCACTGGGTTGTTTTCCTGAATTGTTGTGGAGTTGTAGCAGCATGTGCAGCATGTGATTCGTTGACGTAAGGTTTGCGACACGGCTTCTTGGCGTGCAGCCCTTACTTACACTGGCTTCAATGTAAGGCGGCTGCAGCTACTCGTCGTAGTGTCGGAGCGACAGTGTACAAGGAATGGGTGGACGTCGAGTGCTGCTTCCTTACACCGTGTACAAGGTAAGCGGCAGCTCACAGTCGGGCCAGAGTTCGGGACTCGTAGATAGCTTGTAGATGTCTTAGCGCTGATGCCAGGTGTATCGCCAACTTCGGAGCCAAGAGTTGGACGGCTTGCGCAAAGCGGTGCTCTGCCGAGTCGAAGGGATTCTGCCGACGCCTCTCAGCTGGCGTGGGCCGAGCCAGGCCTTGGACTGCATCGTGATGCAAGCCAACTCACCGATGGCCGATATCTCAGAGGGCGGGGCGGCGGAGAGAGTGTGCGTGTCTCTTGACGTGCCGAGGCCTCGCTTCGAAAGACCGCCATGAGGGCCAGAAGCTCAGACACGGTTCAGGCAAGTTTTCTTTTAGGTCTAGATTGTGGGCAAGTTATCTTGACGAGCTCAGACAGCTCGAGACAGCCGATGAGTAGAGATGAGTGCTTGGGTACCACTCTCCCTGCCTTCTTGGAGGAGCCTCCAAAGCCGTCAGCAACAACCTAACAAACTGGCAGCATTCCCAATGCGTGCGCCAGCAAGACGGCACGGGGCCCCTCAACATGACCAACCTGGCGCTCGACATGTCATCTGAGGCTCAAACCAGAGAATTATCGGCAGGAGCCCATGATCAATACACGAATCAAGCTCTCGTCTGCAACAAGGGGCCGGAAGAGCAACACTCTGTGGTAACAGCCGAACAGAAGACGGTATTACCTGCAAGACATTCACTGCGATTGTTGATGGTGCATCTTGCAGTCAAGTTGAGCGAGCGCACCCGACCTCAAGGCATTGAGTGACCTGGTCGACATGGACATTTCCGTCTTGAGTTTGAGGCCGTGAAGACACAGTGCTGACTTTCAGGGTAGTTATTTAGTTAGCTAGTTAGTCAGTCAGTTAGTTAGGTGGCCAGCTAGCTGGCTAGCTAGCTAGCTAGTTAGTCACAGAGGGTGTCTGTGTGTGTCTGTCTGTTTGTCCTTGTTTGGTGTTTGTGAGCAAGGGCAGCAAGCGTAGGCCGAGGCCGTGTACAGCAGAATCACAAACACTTGCGGCTATCAGTGAGTGGCTTTGCCCAAAGTCAGGGCAGTGGAGGAAACCGTGGACATGCGCCTGCGAGACGAATCGTCGTGGGTTCGACAGGCAGGGCAAAACGATCCTTTATCGCCAGAGTTGCAGAGTGAATGGTGTCGGGCATCGGACAGAGACATGTATCCAATTGATCGTTTTTGCCGTGTTTGCTTGTCCAGTGTGCTCAGTGTTCTCACTTCATGCATCACCAGTTATGATGTCTACTAGCAGCGACTTTCCCATTCTCGTGTCACAGATTCAGACCTACTACATTCATTGTCTTTGTTTCACACGTGGATAGGACTGTCCTCTCTGTTGCAGTGTTAACCATTCTGAGTTTGGGGAATGCAGCATGTGCAGCGCTAGTGCGCAGTTGGTGATCTAGCCTTGCCATGACCAGTTGTTTGAATCCGGCAGCAGGTTTCTTTGGACCTCCTCGGACGCATTCTTGAAGGAAGCCTTGCTGAGGCAGTGGGCTGAGTTTGGTGTCACGGGCAGTCTTCACACCACGGTCCTGCAGCACATTTTGTCGCTCATCAGCAGTGGATTGCATCCTTCTGGCAGTTGGGTTCGTGCTTGCTGTCCTGTGCAGGGGAGCGGTGAGGCACGGTGCAGATGCTGCTTTGTGCTTCTTGCGCCCATGTGACCTGAAATGCATGCATTGGCTTTCGCCGCGGGCGCGATGCTTTGCGTGCTTCGGTAGGCGGGGTCAAAGCGGGCAAGCGCAGAGGGCAGTCATGGAGGCAGGATGCTCTGCCCAATGCTTTGCTTAGCTGTGTGATGAAGGTATCATTTCAAGATCGTAGACTCGTAGAGCGAGCGGTGGTATAGCAGTTGCCAGGGCTGCTTGCTGCAAGGTTCAGATGCCAGTGCCCGGGACATGCTGCCGTTTGGCAGCAGTTATCCCTGGCTCTCATGCAAGCCTTCCTTTGCCCGTGCTGAGTGCAGTCAGCCACACAGTCTTGTTGGCCCACACCACGAGGCTTCGGTTTCACAAGACTGTGCGTGGGCAGCTGCCTTAGGCATGTGATCGCTGGAATGGGCATGGGCATGACGGTTGCTTTTTCATGGCGACTATATCCGCGTGATGCAACTCTCGGATTTGGCTTGTGTCAGGAAGTTGCAATAATTGCCGTTCTGGATTTTCGCTTGAGACGTTGGCAGCTTCTTTCGAAGTGCCGCTGCAAACAGTTGCACATGCACCGCATTCGTGCACTGCAGGCTTTAGTGTGCAGTGTCACAAAAGGACAACCCCAACCCATCTGACATCCAACGCCGAAACCTAATGAGCACTCCGAATCCCCCTCCACGGTGCTTCATGGCGTTCCGGTTTCGGTCGGCGGCTATACTGCTGGCAGCACTGTGCTTTTCCGCGCCAGGGCCTCGGGTATTCAGTTCTGAAATCTTGGTCGTGGAACTATCGGGCAAGCAAGATTCGCGGCTAAACATGGTAGGGGCAAGTTCTCCTCAACATGGCAGCGTTTAGTCTGCAGTGCCTGAGGTTGTCTGATAGCCTTAATGAGACCCTGCCTGCCGTTATGGTTCACACTTCCAGGCTCCGCTGTGCGTTCGTGCTGTCTGGAGCACCTTCGACGTGGTCGAGGATAACGCCTTATGGCTGCCCTCCACGGTCTTTTCTCCGCTTGCACTCCGGTGCCATGACCAGCTCATGAGCAGCTCTCGAAAGGACTCGGCGAACACTGCGCCCGGCCAGGGGCGACGACGAGGGCGTCCTCGATGGCACTTTCAAGGAGCCAAGGATCATGTTGCATGAACCTGTGCCAAGATGAGAGAGCAGCATGCAGAGTAGCATCGGCTATTGGGCGAAATATTTGATGAGTTGGTGGATGGATCTTTCGCTGAATCGTGCCGCCCGAGCACAGGAGGTAGCGCAAAACCTCATCGACTCCATGCCTCTGCGACTTGTTCCAACAAGAGTAGCATGTACGTGAATCGAAGAGTCTTGCTTCCTGATGATGCAGTTCGCTGTTTAAGGGCGGCCATGCATGAAGTTGGGGATGGTTTGGCACGACTTGGTCTGAGGCCTGCAGAAGAGAAAGAGGCTCACGAGGTCCTTGACAGCTTTGCAGCTCTCATGTTGCTGCTGTTGTTTGGACGCTGAGCGGGACTTTCATCATGATGAAGATGGTGAGGACGATGATGACGACGGTGAAAATATCATGATTACCCTGTTGCTGACAATGGCTATGGCGATGATAACTAGTGACTAGTGGCCATGGCGATGACGATCTATGACGACGACGACAGAACCGCAGCAGTGCAGAGTTACATGCTTTCAAGAGTCGCGGAGAGCTTCCCATCTTTTAGAAGCTTTGCTGAGCGCTTTCCTGGGGCACCCGATCGCAGCTGCGGATTTTCATCAAGCTGAGTGACTTTCACCGCAGAGTGACTCGTTTCAACCAGAGATGTTTTTCAACCTGGGCATGTCGAGAGAGGCTTATCGAATGGGCCTTTCGGCTCAGTCCGATGGAGATCTGAAAGAAGCTGTGCGCTGGCATCTCGGCTTACATAAGTTTTCGCGCAGCTTGGAGCTTGGATTTCAGGCATGGCGGAGGATGGCGGAGGGGTGAGTTGCTGTTTCCGGGGTTGCATACTTTGTCGTGTAGCACACTTGTGTGCGANNATCACCGATCGACTCCGTGGATGTACTGGAGTCGATCACTTCGAACTTGTTGCATTCCGCTGCCATTTTGGTACAAGCTTCGAGCTGAAGCTTTTCTTCTACTCTCTCCTCAAGTTACTGCGAAGCTATGGCTACACTGCGAAGCAACTCTTGGTTTGAGTTCCTCTGCTAGGGCAGTATCGCCGCCTTCTTTGACAGTGCATCGATCCCACCGCGCATGCTTGCGCAGTTTCCCGAGGAGGTGAGTGATCCCAAAGTGATCTGCCTGGCACGATCGAGAACACGAGGGTGCCCCCATTGTGTCGAGTCCAAGAGCTGTAACAATCGGACCAATTGCAGCTACATCCACCCCGATTTCGTGAACCGCAAGTGGGTGGTCCCCGATTTGATATGCCACAAGTGGTTCCAAGGTGTATGCGCATTTCCCACGAGCTGTTGGAATCAACATGGTAACACCCTCGAGCTGCAGCACGACTTCAGGAACAACTCCGAGGCGATCGACGACCTCCGTTCGCATACGAGTCCTCCGAAGATGGCAAGATACGACGGATTAGTCGTGCCGACGCTGCTGATTACATTCTCACTGCGATGGCAGATTTTCGCTTTCGAGAAATCCGCAAGTGGCGATTTGGTACAACTTTCACGATGTACTACGGCTACCAGACGTGGGACAGCTCCGAAGATGCGGTTCGTGTTCGAGCCGAAGAAGAAGAACGCCGACTGGCGCAACAGATGCTCTTCCGCGGGCAGTCTCCGCGAGGAACGGGACTTTCGTTTCGCCGATCAACCTCGAGACCTCCTCCTACAAGACCTTGGGTAGCATCTTGGTCAGACACGAGGAGATCGAGTACTCCTTTCCCGAAGTTAAGCTGCGACTGGATCGCTACTTCAGTGGTCCGGAGTCATATGCATCCTCGGCCCCTCGGTTTGGAGCACCCCGATCTTCTCTCCGCCAAGGCGAGGAGAGGGTCGAGGGCAACCGATTTAAACGACGAGAGCCAGATCACCAGCCGAACGATGGATGTCCCCACAGGCGAATACACCGGTCATCGTAGGCTAGTCCGTTTAGTCCAGTGGACGACAATCTGTGGAATCAAGTGGAGGATGAGGTGCAGCAAGCCCGAGCACTGTGAACGCCACGCAACAGGCCTAGGATGACCCGTGGGGCACCGAATGGATCAACGACAATATCCACGAGTCATCGAGAGGCCTGCCTCCACCGAGGTGATTCAGATCAAGGCTCTACGGGTGTAAAAAGCCGGCTGAGGGTGCACCAGAGAGCACAAACAGCGACGCCCAAGCTCCAACGAGCGACGTCAAAGTGCCACTCCTGAAGGTAGAAGCTGGATCTGCCACAATATGGCTCTGCATCGGAACACGAGTCGGGCCTATCAAGGAACTCTACACTTTTCTTGTTTGGAACACCGACGACTGGAGATTCGGTCACCAAGATCCCGGTTTTGATACATCTACTACGCCTACTTCGGTGTCCTCAAACAGAGGTCCTGTACCGCGAGCTCTCCGAAGGCTTCCACTCCCATCGAGATTTCAGATTAAAGAACCGGGGATACGTTCGCGAGCAAACTCGAGAAGAACAAAGTGGACGACCGTTGGGAGTTTATGGTACATGCGAGCGGTCCTGTCGCGGCCCCAGACTGGTGGCCTACACGATCAGTGGCGCCGAGCAAAGGTGAACACGGATGCGTCCGTCCGCTACGTTCATCGCCGCTATGGCTTTAGCGCCGAGCAGACTGGCAGCGAGGTGAAGATTGGCGGCAGTGCGACGTGTATCATGCACGACCAGCTGTTTCACCACGGAATGCCAATCAAAAAAACTCTCCAATACAAAACTTTTCCAATCAAAAAAAACCCTTCTACAATCAAAAGAAAACTTTCCCGTTGCCATAGAAGAGAAGAAGGCAGTGCTGAAGAAAAGAAGGCAGGACGGCAGGAAGGCAGGAAGGAAGGACGGAAGGAAGGAAGGCGGGGAGAGAGAGGGAGGAAGGAAGGAAGGAAAACGGAGGAGCTGAGTTCTTGGAGTGCCCATAGAGAGGTGCTGGGGGTAGGGAGGGGGAGGGAGGGTCTGCAGCTCCCAGCTCCCTCCGCTTTTCAGGGGGCCCCGGCCGGGTGCAGTTGTAGACGTCGCCGTCGGCGAAGCCCAGGGCCAAGTTCTTCGAAGCCTCATCCGCCTCGAGCTTGATGGGTGGCACGGAGTCAGCTCAGCTCCCAAAACAGAAGAAAGCGCAGTTCTCTCCCGTGTTCTCGATCTTTGGCCACACAAAGACACACAAGGACACACTCGCTCTTTTGGTCGCTGGCCAAGATGTTCAATCGATCCTGGGTCACGTAGTCAGGTGCAGCGCACAAGAGAAGCTTGGCAAAGCTGGCATCTGGCTCAGCGCACGAAAAAGAGCATGCTCTCCTAAAGAACGAGCCGTCTCATGCCCGAGTCGCACAGCCATCCCGCCAGTACCTGCGAGCTCAACAGACAGAACCTGTCTCACCAGTTCTTCGCTGCAACAGGACGCGGAAGCGGGAGTCTGTGGAGTGTGCCCAATTCGAGCGTTCCTGTGAAACTCTGTTGCGCAGCAACAGCAACAACCGCAGGGGCACGTCTCGGCAACTTCGACGTCACCTCTTTAGCAGGACAGCCAGACAGCCGGGCCTAGAGACATCATAGCCGCTGCTTGGGCCGCGACCCTTGTGCCAGGAGATGGCGACCATTGCCATCCTTGCGTCGGAATCAGCTTGAACAACCTCGGTCGGAAATCGGCAACAGCCCTCCTGTGCTCTCCGGCTTCTGCTTGGCTTCCCCGCTCTTTGGAGCAGGCCGACGTCCTTGCTGAGCAGGCCCACGCAGCGGCGGATGACGTCCACGAAGCTAAGCTCTGCCCTTTCCAGCTCCTGCAAGGAGGAAGAGAAGAGCGAGACAGAGAGGAGAGGAGGAGAGAGAGAGAGAGAGGAGAGGAGGAGAGAGAGAGAGAGAGAGAGAGAGAGAGAGAGTCTGAGAGAGTCTGAGCTTCGCCCACGCCTGTGCCGCCAGGAGCGCCACGCCGGCCTTCTCCGCTTGGAGCTCGGCTTCGGGGCGACGCCCGGCAGAGCGCAGCAGCGCCGCCGCCGCCTCGAAGGGACCCTATAAAGAGCGGAGAAGCGAAGCTATAGGATCGAACTCCGTCTAGTAGGTCCGTATGGCATGGCTCTGCCTCGAAGTCTTCCGCGGCTGCCAGGGGCCTCGAAGCGATCTGCAAGACTCATGCGAGGCTGCAAGCTGCTCAAAGGTCTCCGGCTGCTGCTGGCCAACCTTGGCCTGGCCATGGCTAAAAAACAGCAATTTTGGCGCTCTTTCAGAAGCGAAGTCTAAGTGCCTTCGAAGAGAGACTTTGAAGAGAGAAACACGTCCCTGGGCCCCAGGCCTTGGCCCGGCCCTCCAGCAGCTCCAAGTCCTTCCGATCGGAGGAGACAGAGCTTCGCTTCGTCAAAAAGAGAGAGAGAGAGAGAGAGAGAAAGAGAGAAAGAGAGAGAGGGAGAGAGTGGGAGAGAGAAAGAAAGAGAGAAAGAGAGAAAGAGAGAAAGAGAGAGAGAGAGAGAAAGAGAGAGGGAGAGACGGGTTTGGCATCCTCCAGGGGCTCGCCGAAGAGATCTGCTGCCCGGTCATAGTCGGCAACGGCCGCATCCCACTGCTCCAAGGCCCTGCAACGCAAGAGAGGCCCCAAAACATCAACTCAACCCAGACTTCATACCAGCAGCCGCAGGCAGCCGCAGGCCTGAGGACGTTGCCACGTGCCACCAGAACCTGCACTCGGGGCTCGGCTGTGTTCTGAGCCTTCTGAGGCTTTCTCAGACGCCCCACGAAGTCGCAGAGTCCCAGTCCTTGGGCATTTCGTCAAACTGGACAAGGGGGTTGGCCTTGGATGCCTGGCGATAAAATTATTGCAGGTCTCAGAACTTGACGGCACGAGCCGCACCAAGAGAACAACCCAAAATCCCCAAGCTCATGACAAGCCCTATACCTTTGCCGAACGGGATTTCCCAAACCTATGTACCAGGACCCTTCAACCGTGAACCCCAAAAACTCCTACAAGTAACTGGAAACCCCAAACTCCCGGAAACCTAACCTCAAACACAACAAATGCCCTACACTGATCGCCTCGCAGAGCTGCAGAGCCTCAACTAAATCTGCCTGGGCCTCCTGGCAAGGGAGCTCACTACAAAGCCCGTCTCGGGGGGGCGCTGAAGTCTCGGGCTGTATGGGGGCTTGGGCTTTGGGGTCTTTGCAAAGTTTTTATGAGTTTTTTATGGTTTTCTTCGCTTGCGCCTTCCGGGGCCCAAGGTACAGAAAGCAACTTCAGAGTGACTTGAGTCTACGCAGAGGCGAGGAGAGAGCCTGCGGCCGGCCCGCGCGCAGGCGGACCTTGGCGAGTCTCGGAATTGTTTGGCAAATTGATGTCCCTTCTCCACATACACTATAGGGCTTATAAGGCTTTATAAAGTGTAGGGGATGCTTTTTGGGGTGCGCGGGGTGTATGGACACCAGCTCCCGGCCACAGGTCGCGCGCTTGCCCAAATGGCCTTGAAACCTCAGTCCAGGAGCCAAGGGGCAAAGGCCCGGCGCCTGAGAAGGGCGGGGACTTCGTTCGGGGACACCGGCAGCCGGCGCCACCTCTGCGCTTCGGACTGCAAGTAGCTGAAACGAAGCCTCATACCGACAAGTGCTAGACTGTCATCCTTTGTCGCCCTTCCACGTGAAGCCCTAAAGCTTCAACACAACCCTACTGGCAGCCTTTAACATCCCCCTGACCTTCTAAGCCTCACCTTGCGGCGCCCCCCGGCGGGGGCCTTTGTAGCAGCTCCGTCAGCTCCGCCTCCGCCTGGCCCAGCGCGGCCTTGCTTGGGAAGTCGCCGAGCTTCCGCACGGAGGAGAGCGCCGACTGCATCCTTGGCGTTTGAGGCCATTGGGGCTTCTTGGGGCTTCCGGGCTTACAGCCTATGAGACCTTGTGGCTTATGGATAGAAAGCAGATGGAGAATCACGGAGATGCATATATGCAGAGACGGAGATATCGATGGAAAGAGGGATAGAGATAGATAGATATATAGTTAAAAGATCGAGCCAGATGGCCACAGTCGAGGGAGATGGAGACAGAGAGAGAAGATCGAGAGAAAGATAGATGGAAAGATGAGCTAGTTAGATAGATCGATAGGTCTAGGAGGATTCCGCTAGATTCAGAGACCCACAAAACAGATTCAGATAACTTGCCTTGCCTTGTTTATATAACTTATACATATAATAATAAAGATTATTAGTACTATGTACTATTATTAGCATTATTCTGATTTTGATTATTATTATAACAACAAAAAACCGAGAGAAGAGGCGGAAGCTTTGCTTTTAAGCGGTTCCCAGGCTCAGGCTCACGTCCGCCTCCGAGGGCCCCGCCTCCCCGAACTCCATCCCCTCAGGGTTTAGGGTTGTGGGTTTAG